ATAGATAGATAGATAGATAGATAGATAGATAGATAAAAATGTATTTTGCATCTTTTATAGATAGATAGATAGATAGATAGATAGATAGATAGATATGTATTTTACATCTTTTGATAGATAGATAGATAGATAGATAGATAGATAGATAGATAGATAGATAGATAGATAGAGAAAAATTCATTTTGCATCTTTTGATAGAGAGAAAAAAAATTATTTTGCATCTTTTGATAGATAGATAGATAGATAGATAGATATGAACATATTCAGATAGCTAGATAGATAGATATGAACAGACTGAGATAAATGGATATGAAGAGATTTAGAGATATGAACGAATTTAGATTGATACATAGATATGAAGTGACTAAGATAGATAGATAGATATGAACAAACTGATATAGAAATGAACATATTCAGATAGATAGATAGATAGATAGATAGATAAAAATGTATTTTGCATCTTTTATAGATAGATAGATAGATAGATAGATAGATAGATAGATAGATAGATAGATATGTATTTTACATCTTTTGATAGATAGATAGATAGATAGATAGATAGATAGATAGATAGAGAAAAATTCATTTTGCATCTTTTGATAGATAGAGAGATAAAAAATTTATTTTGCATCTTTTGATAGATAGATAGATATGAACATATTCAGATAGCTAGATAGATAGATATGAACAGACTGAGATAAATGGATATGAACAGATTTAGAGATATGAACGAATTGATTGATACATAGATATGAAGTGACTAAGATAGATAAATAGATATGAACAAACTGAGATAGAAATGAACATATTCAGATAGATAGATAGATAGATAGATAGATAGATAGAAATCTACTGATTCAGAGAGACTGAAACCGATAGAGATAGATAAATAGGTAGATAGAAAGATAGATAAGACAGTACCGAATGAACAAAATATATATAAAAAGTGGGGGAACAGATATGAACAGACATTTCGTCTACTTTTGCAACCTTTATCAGTGTTTACTATAGAAGTGAGATTTTTTCTTTTTTTGAACTGGGCTAAATTTAAAATCCAACGGACGATAATTACCTCAGGGCGAAAATCACCAATCCTTTAGGCGCGTCGCCTGATATGGATCTTTATTGCCGCTTCCCCACACGAATGTGTATCTGACTGTGGTCAAATGACCCCGACTATAAGTTGTGGGGAGATGTCTGGCTGAAAACTCCTGTCAACTAAATAAAAAAACCCATAAAAAACATATACAAAATATGTTTTTATACAGTATAAGACACATACGCGGATATCTCTTATCTAATTATCTATCGCAATTGCAATCTATCTCTTTCTTTCTCTCCCTAAATATACGTATATGTATGTTGTTGCTCCCTTTAGGTAATCTAGGCTTCGAGTATGCTACTGAGTAGGCAAGTGTTCCTTTAGTCTTTTTTTGTCTTTTTTTCAAACAGTATTGCCTTTTTTTCAAGAGTTTATCTGGATAAGATTTTTAAGTTTCGACAAATTGTCCGTTCGTTCAATCAACGGTTATTGCTTTTTTATATATATATATATATATATATATATATATATATATATATATATATTCATACATGTTTAATTAAATAATTTAGACAAGTGTTGTCTATTTATTTTATGTAAATTCTTTTCAGAACGTCTGATAAGCTTAATAACATTATCATTAAGCGAAGAAAGAAAATCACAATAATGATCCATATTTTTAATCCAATGAAACATGTATGAATGAAAAATGCTGCCTAAATACAATATATATATATATATATATATATATATATATATATATATATATATATATGTAATTATTTATTTAAAAATATGTTATGCTCTACTTTCGTATCGAGCACTATTTTTTAAAAATAATAACAAGAACTTTGGATTATTTACTTAACGAGTTCTTTCCTATTTTCTATATATTTACACACACACACACATATATATATACATATATATATATATATATATATATATATATATATATATATATATATATATATATATATATATATATATACAATATATAGTCAAAATTTTGAGATCAATATTCAGATATGTGGCAAGCGATATACTGTGATCAAATCCCTCTCTACACACACACAGATATGTTTGTCTGTAAAGAGAGTGTGATTTGATCAGTGTATATCTTTTGCCATATATTATCAGAATACTGATCTCAATTTTTTAACTGTATATTGTATAATTACTGTATAATGTATAATGTATATGGTGTATATTGTATAATGACTGTATAATGATTGAAGAATTTGATTAATTGGGGTGCATTAGGTTAAGCCCATTCAAAGGGAAGATAAATATATGTTGTATAAAATAATGTTTTTCTTTATGTTACAGATTTATTGCCCACCCCCTCAGTAGATATTCTGATTGGATTGGATTGAGAAAATGTCATCACAAAACAATGAAAAATAAATAAAAAATCATGAAAAATATGGAATTGATATGAGGAGATTTTTGCAGCCT